GAAATAATCATGATGTGATAATCATAGAATAATTTTATTTTCAAGGCATTTTTTTTTTTATTATTATTATTATTTTTATTTAATACTGTGTTCTTTGTGAAAGCAAAATACTTTGCAGGGAACCTGTTCAGCAGCAGGTTTGGTTTATAGAGCTGTATGCTCATTAGGCAGTCACTGAGTCAGCTTTAGAAATAAGATCAAAATCAAAATGGAATAAATTCTTCCCAAAGGGAGTTATCTAATAATAACAGCTAAACTTACCATAACCTTTTCTATCTATCGACAGAGTGACTGCTGAATTACCAAGTTTGTTACCCTGTTCTCACAGTCATTAAGTCTTCTAACAAACCCAGTGGGGTTAGTTAAACTAGATACTGCAGTTCTGGTGAAAAACTTTAAATATACAACAGGGGCAAAGGACAGGAAAGATATTTACAGCACTCTTTGCTAAACCCTCTGCAAACAAGTGAAACAATTTGGGAAGCCGTACTCAAACCATCTCAGCAGGTTTGAGTCCCAGCAAACCACACGCTGCAGGGTGGAGCAGGAGAGGGGAGAAAGAAGCAGCCCATTTTGTCTGTCTGGGAAGGATTATTCTTCTGAGATTCACTGAATTTGCATGCTGTGCCTTTGAGCATCATAGCAGGCATACACCCACGTGGATTCTCTGAACCGTGGTGCAGCATTAACCAACCCCAGTATCCCATCTGCAGCTGAGATCAATATTTGATAGTTTGTAGGAAAGTGGAGTATAAGGCACAAACAGCAGACAAATTACGAATCAGAAGGAAAAATAAATATCCCTTGATCCCACAGGCAGTCGATTAAAAAAACCTCAAAGGGTTGAGATTTTTATTAAAATTGCCTTAACACAGAACTACAAACACAAGTTATGTAATGCAGACAGTCCTGTACTCCCAAAGATTCATTGCAGAAGGGGATGAGAAAATCAATAGAAGGAGTTAAATCTACAGATTCCAAGCCAGAAGTGATCACAGAAGCTATCTGAACTCAACCTTTTATATTTTTACCCACATTCAGACTAAACTAATTCTTGACATAAAGATCTAAAGCATATCTTTAAGAGAAAGTGTCCCAGGGCTGCCAATTCTGTCATCTTCTTTACTGAGCTCCTCCATGCTTCCCTACCTCCATGTACGTAATCAGCTTTTCAGTAACTATATATATGTGGCATAGATGTCTCTGAACTTTCTCTTTGTTAACCTGAATAATTTTAGCTATTTGAACTTTGCATTGTTATATTTGCCTTCTGACCCAGAGTTATACTTACAATTTCTTAGTGCTCCTCTCTACTCATTTCCCATTTGTGCAGTGTGCATTTCAGGAATTGGGCATTTTATGACAGTGTCAATCTCACCAGTTTTGTGACCAGAGACAAGATCACCCTGTGACTTTTACCTGTGGCCCTTACAATGAAGAATTGCATCAACCCTTTTTACCATGCTACTGCAGTGACAATGCACAGTACAGTATCCATCTATATAAACCCATAATTTTAATTTCCATCACAGCTCTTCAATTCCAGTCTCCCATCTACAATTCTGATTAGTTAACCAAGTGAGACAGATCACTTGATAGGAATACTCTGTCTTCCTTGTTTTTCTTTGTGAGACCACTTTTGGTCCTCCTGATGTGTTTTCCTTTAATTCTGTATGATGTAAGTTTTGGATTCACAATGTCATAAAACAAATCAAATGCCTTGAATAAAACCCAATATACAGATTAATCATAGTTGCCTCTATCAAAAATAACGCTGTCAAAAATTGCTTGGCAAGATCTTTATTCCAAAAAAATGTTATCAGGTATTAATTATATTCCTAGTTAGTATTTTGTAGGAAGAATCACAAATTTATAATGACACTACTTTATCTGGGGTTGTTGACAGGATACAGACCCTTGGTAGTCTTTCTTCACCTTTATTAGCACAGAATAATCTTATCCATCAGAAATTTGAGAACTATTATAAGTAGAAAGTTTTCAATTAGTTGTTTTAAAGATTGCTTTGTGTACATCATCTACAGCAGGAGACCTGAAAATATGTGGTGTTCATTGTGCTTTGCTCAAGATAGAATACTTTCTATTTTTGTGATGTCCTCGGATAATATAGTTTTCAGTGCTGTGTTTTCTGTCCAGACATAGGATTTTTCCATGACAGTACTCTTCCTTCACATCAAATTAAACAAGAAGTTTTGGAGGAGGAACTTTCCTTCTCTGATTGGCTTTGTGAAGTGGTAGGGATCCCTGAACTTCTTTGTTGCAAAGATACTAAGATAATAGTAGTAATAATAATTAAAGAAATAAAATAAAAATCAGTTGTTTGAATAGGCAATGTTAAGGACTGGGTATTATTTTCTACTGTAAACTTTGTGACCCTGGGTAACAAAAATTTAGAAACAAATATGTTTATGGTTCTTACATCTGAGCTATCAATGAAAAAATCATCATTGTGGCCATCAACTGTCCCATTATCCAGCCTGAGAAGAGCTCTGCAAGCTATTGACCGGAATGAGACTTCTGTAGAAATTAATATGATTACTTTTGAAGACTGCATTTATGCTGAGCACTTGCATGGTATTTTGATGAAATCTTTTATCTGAGAATCTCCATGCATTTTGTAAGTGTTTATTTAATTTGTGCACTTCAGGAGTTAACTACTGAATCCAAAATGCAGATGAAAGCCTGGACTCAGTGAGAGGTATAATTACTGTCCACTAAAGTCTGCCTTTTGGAGAGGTCTGACTTTCTGTTTTCTGTTCTGATCATTTGAATAAAATATGATTCTAACTTAAGAACAAAGGCTTTGCTTTATATAATTCATGGTATCTGCTGTTTCAAATTCTGTTGCTCACCATGTATATAGCTTGTAAGAAGAGCCCTAGGACTGTGTTTATTCTATTAGTAATTTTAAGGGCAAGTTCTTTATGTGAATGAAATTGTCTTGGTAGTATTTATTAATACAGCTTGGTATTAAAAATCCTGTTGACCAGTTGTACGTGGCATATTAGCTAGAAAAATAGATAATTGAAAAGGAGTTATATCCTGATATTGTTATTTGGACTGGGGTAGTTCATTAGGCTCACCTGCGGACCAAATGTACATCATTCAGAGCACTGTACAAGCAGGGAGCATGAACATGAGAGTTGTTGATGGCTGTTCAGTGTCTCTGGGTTATACACACCATTTATCACATTCTGGTTTATTCATAACTGGGGACAGCACTTTGGCTGGGCAACTCTATTTTTGTATAATAATATTTAAAAATGTGGAACAAGATTATTAGGAATTTTCAGTGCTAGCCTACCTTAAAAAATACGTGCAAAAGAACCTACAAGAAGTTGCAGAAAGTTTAATATCGGGGGGTAGCCAGTAACCTGAAACCGAAGCAATTTTCTTTAAATTGTTACCTCTTTTCTGTCAAAATGATTTTGATATCTTTATTTACTAAATTTTTAAATTTCACACTTCACAATATAATTTTTCTTGCTAAAAAACAGCTCTAATATGTCTGTCCTGAATTCCATCAATCCTACCCCACTTCCCAGCCATGATCTAAAATAGCTTAGTACACTCTTTAAATGAGGCTTCATTAATTTTTCAGAACGTACCAGAGGACTTTCACTAACGCTGTATATCTGGAGCTTCTGTGCAGTCAATTAAAATATAGCTACATTTTTCTGAATAAGTGAGGCATATTTTTATGATAGCATAACCTTTTTCTCCAGTCATGTTTACTTGCTTCTTCATAAAATTCAGGGATCTGTAATGAATTTCTCAGGCATTACTGAGGATTAGCAAACTTCTTTTGTGTTTCCTTTAGGCTTAATTTAGAACTTTTCTTATGCTTTTCCATTTTTATAACCAACTAGTTGAAGTTGATTAAATATACTTATTTTACAAGGGTTTGAAATAAAACAAAGAATAAGTATTTGATCTCTTTTTAGAAATAGTGAGAAATTTTGAACCAACTTTTTTTTTTTTTTAATCAAGGTTTATGTAGTTATTGTGCGTTATGTACTGTATCATTGCAAATATTTATACAAACAGGAACAAAGCCTTTTTCATAGGAACCACAATTAACTTAATAAATCACATTTTTTGTCTGTAGTTCAGATGTATTTGATTTTTTTTTTCTTATGGAAACTTATAAATCAAGATAAGTGGTAGAAGGAAAAATTATGACAGAGTTCATCCCACAGTGTTTTACATGTTTTACTAACATATTGCTTTAACCTTTCTTTCTTAACACACCACTTATCTGATGATCTGATGTTCTTTGGCCCAGCCCTAATCACATAGAACACAGACTGTAAAGATATCTATATTCAGATATCTTTACCAATCCAGTTACCAGAGGTACAGAATAGTACGGAGGTTTTCTTAGAAACATTTCCAAGGAGGTACATGAACATGGTGTCCAGCAAAATGTTTTTGCTTTGCAAAACTTTGGTTTGGTATTCAGCCCTTTAATAGTGAATGTGCTCAGACCTTAAGATGTTAGAGTGGCAGTGATTTCTTGATGGGAGCATTTTGGGTTCAAGATGTTATTTCATTCACATCAATCCCACTAGTCATGTTGTCACCACATAACATATTTCCATTTAAATGAAATCATATTTTTGAATGAGGTGAACATGCCATAGAGCATAAAATAATACTTTTGAAGCTCATGAGGCCGATCAACAAAACTAGCTATGATATATGCAATTCTTCTCTCAGTCTTGTTTGAAGCTCATGAGGGAGATAACAAAACTCATTATGAATCATAAAATGGTTTGAGTTGTAAAGGACCTTAAAGATCATGTAGATCCACCTCCCCTGCTATGGGGGTTCCACTAGATTATGGCGTATGCAATTCTCTCAGTCTTGTTTGTGTATTGTAATGAAGATATTCTAATGACTTTAGTATGCTTGTTTTCTTTACAGATATTTTATTAAGTACTCAATATGTTTACTAATTGTTAATGCCTTTGTTGTTGCAGATACAGCAGTGATATATAAAAATAGGAATGGACACGTTATTGAACTGAATGTAGAAACAAATACAACTACATTATTATTGGAAAATACAACTTTTGTAAGTAATATGTTTTATTTCTTGTTGGAAGTCTGCTAGTCTGCTTTTTTTTTCTTTTTTTTTTTTCTCCCGTAACAGTGAGTGTAATTAAAGATTACAGAAACTATGTTTATAATCTAGAGTAGGTTATATATGTAAATGGAAAGTATAATCCATGCTTTCTTTGGGCTATTTCAAGGATCATACCTGGCATACGTGCTAGTGAATCTAGCTGAAGTCTATTATAGGAAGAGACTTCATAAAATTAGGGCACTCTACCCAAAATTGAGAGCTTTTTCCTGTCAGAAATGGAGAAAAATGTTCAAATATCATATGAAAATTTTCCTTTAAGCATTTACATATATAAAAATATATAGATTTTCCTAGTTGTGGTATTCTCTGGTTTACCTGTTCTTCTGTGCTTTAATGTCAGACTAGAGTGTTGGGGATTATTCCTCTTGACCAGTAACTAGTATACACATGAGTGGTTTGCATATGTTTCTGAGTAGCAGTAATTGCTAAGAAATGTTTTATTTCTTAGTCTACATTTCCCTTTTCTTTATGTGGTTAGTTTCAGTGATACCACTTATATCCTACCCTGTAATTCTCATTTATCAGAGCTTTGCAGCATAAATTCATGGCGTGTCAATCAATCCTCCTAAATACTTCATACAGACCACTAGCTGTTATTGCTAATCCCTGTATTTTTAATTTAGAAAAATATTTTGCACCTGCAGACCAAAAACGATGACTCATTTTCATCATAAATCTTCGGCAAAGGCCAAAGATTTTATTCCTGGTTTGTTCCTGGCCTTTGCTGATACAGATTCCTCATTTCAAAGCATTAAGCCCCTGCTGACTTTTCCTTCTAACTCCTTGAACTAGAAAGGGGAGAGCAGAAGTTTGGGAGAGTGAACTAGACACTGACTTCCCAGATCAATGTAAAAATGAATGAGAAGGGAGGAGAGATTTGAATATTAAGAGTGCATGTGTGAGGCTCCCTTACTGTGAGCTGCACCCTTCCATATGCTGGGACGTGCCTCAATGTACTTCCTAGCCCAAAAAAGACTGGCAGACACAAGTAAAAGTGGATGAAAAGGGGAATATCTCTCAAATACAAACCACAAAACATTGAGGAAACATTTTCCCTCTTACCTGTGTATACCTGTGAGTGCTTTCCTGGCTAAGTAGAGGATTATCTGTGTCAGGCCTACAAATTACCTTTAGCACATAACTTAAATGCAAGTAGCTACGTGGACATCTCTGGCTCTAAAACTTGACTTTAATGACAAGACACGAGTTTCCTCATAAATTAATTCATACATTTTTGGCTGCAAGTGTTTGGCTCATGCAAAGGCTATTGCCAGCATGACAAGCTATTCAGGCCATTATGCTAAACCAGTGATGCCAAGTAATGATGGATCAGTATGGACAAGCTGCTTCACGCTGCGAGTGTCTCATCTTGTCAGAAAGTTGCTGTCTGTTTTTTTTTTTTTTTTTTTTTTTTTTTTTTTATGGAGCTGATTCATCCTGAAGTCATGCAGACTGACAGAACTGTAGACACTAGGTATCTACACTTAATTAAGTGTGGGAAACTGATCCAAGATGGATAATATTCAAGCAACCATTTAATAATTATCTATGGAACAGAGTCAAATGAAAACGTGTGTTTTTTCTTGTGAAGCTTCAGTCTGTACACAGTCAAAAGCTAAGAGTGTTAGATTTAAATACAGTGGATTTCAGCAGTGACTATTTACATAGAAGTAAAATAAAAAGCTGAAAACAGAGCAGAAGTCTCGATAAGTTTGTTGGCATATGTTTGGCAGAGAGCAATGGGAAATGTTGCTGTGCCTAGTTGTCTGTCTGTTGAAAAAGGTGGCCAATGATCCTAACAGAAGATCACAATATTACAGAGGCAGACTGTGCATCTGAAACCAAAAGCTGTCCTGTTCTTATAAGGTCCATTGTCCCCAAATTCATACTGCTGAAAGTACTCTTACAAGTTAGACGCCTGGCTCGTTAATCAAACATTTTCCCAACTCAGTGTCACATCTGCTTAATCACTAGTGCATAATTAGAATGGTGCTGGTTTAATGACTCTGCAGAGCTGTCTAATATTAATAAAAAATACAGCACAGATCCAGCATAAGCAGTGGCAGTGCAAGTTCCCTTTTTCTTCCCTATAAAAATGTTTCAGTTGCGGAACAGTCACCTTTAGATGGGAGTGATTAGCTTATTTTCAGAGTGCATTCCCTCTCCTGTTTGCCTCTGCTCAAGCAGCCCACAGAAGTGGCAGGTTTTTCTTAGTAATGTTGATAATTATCCACTGAAAACCAAACTGCCACAGTAAAGTCATTGCACAGAGAAGGCTAGTAATATTTCCTTGTCACTACTGATCGGGCAGTATTTGAACCAGCAGAAGACATTTTCTCCTTTCCTTATTACTAATCCTGTAAAGTAGTCTTCCACTGTGTACAGATCACTGCCTTTGATTTGCATCTTACAGACTGCCATTTTTTCTGCAAAGTACATCTCTTTTATCCTTCTTTGTGTTGCTTATTGCCTAAAATCAAAAGTACTCCTATTGAAGAGCTGCTAGCAAAAACAAACAAACAAAAAGCAAACTACATTTTTTAAAAAAACTTGTTATATAGAGTGTTATAAAATACAGCTTTTAATTATAACTAGAAGTACCCATGCACACAGAAAGAAGAAAAGCCAGGGTTTTGACATTCTAACATGCCCATTTGTCTTCCATAGGGAAATACGTATGCAAAGTTCCTGACTTAAAGTATTTTTTTTTTCCAGTTTCATGAGGATTGATTCAGACAGTAGAAGAAATTACTGCACTTCATTTGCCCTCTTCAAATGGAATTCTTTTCTATAATCAATCTATTAGTGAAACAATCTGACCTTTATATAATTAAACTGCTAGCAAAGCAATCTTATGTGTAACAAATACGGTGTTATAAGAGAAAGGAGTAGCTTTTAAAGCATGATGACTAAATTTTAGCTTCTCTGGAGGTCATTATTTAAAGACAGGTTTTCTAAACTATACCTGTCCTCTGCCTATTTTCATGTAGTGTATCCCATTCAAGCTGCCTAATAAATAGTTAATATTCTCAGCCAGCCTCATGTAAATGTTAACAGCTGGAGGCTAGACAGGTCTTCTAGTAGATGGAGCCAAAAAAAGCCCTGGACATTAATCACTGTGTGGCATCCTGATGCTTGCGCTGTTGCCTCGATACATGATTACAATATGTTCTCTATCATCTATCTGAGGTGCCTATCACCATGAGCCTAAGTGACTTGCTTACCAGTTATTGAGCATTTAGCAATACTTTATTGCACATTACAGTTAAACAAAAAAGACATTATGCCTCATTTATCTAAGTAATTTCAGAGTTTAACAAATATTTTATTTATATCTTTTGTCATCAATCATTAAATAGAGCCACTAAAGGCAGGTTACCACTTCCTACACAACCTGGCCACAAGACTTGGGTATGCTGTAGAGGAAAGGCATGGGAGGTTGTTCATCTGGTCCCTTATGATGCTTCTAGCTCAGCCTCCCTCATCTGTTTTACAAGACAAAATGAAGAAAGCAAATAAAAAGATGAGAGAAAAAGTGGGTAGGGGCTGTTCTATGTTCTGTGTCCATATGTGTTGTAACCTCTGAAAGAAGCCTTTAGAAATTTTGCCTTCATATCTTTCTGTTAAAAAAAAAAAAAAGCCAGAATAATTATGACAATGGTAAGAACAGTTATTTGTTCGGCCTCACTTCCACTGTTTTTGTCAGGGATGTATGCAAAAGTAGTCAGATGTCTTGCATGCACTCAGTCCAGAATCCTGGGTCAGAAATGAATCTATCATGACTCCTTTTGCTTTTCCGTTGTAGGTGATGAGAGGTCTGAGTCATCAAATAAGAAGATTTTGATTTCTTTTTGATACCCAACAATATTCTAGTGTCCAAACTGAAAACAGTTACACTTGTAAAGTCTTGTATTATAATAGCTTTCACCCAGCTGTGTGCTTTGGACTCTTCTAAAGCCCAGCCATTGCTGACCTTCTCTCTCCCCTGCTTTCTGTGCCTTTCCATGACTCTTTTAAAGCTCAAGGGGAGACTGCATCCGAGCACACAGCAAGCAAATCCTATTAAGTTGCAAACCTGTTTTCAGGGGCTTGCCAGGACTATACTCTAGAGTGTGTTGTATTGTCATGTTCCTGTGGGCCATCTTTTACACAAGGATGGAGAGAGAAGGATTGCTTCTTGCTGCCTAGTGATGCTGACGGCATCAGAAGGGTGAGCAGAGCAGAAGTAGTCTTGGCTCATGAATCATGATTAGGCTGTGGCAGCCCAGCTGTGAAAACCCTGTGGAAGCCTGGCAGCCAAAAGCCGAGAATGAGCGTTTTAGTATGAACAGAGCTTTTGGCAGGAACTGTTTTGTGCCATTTCATAGAGTGTTCTTCATAAACACCCCTTCTCATTGATAGTCCTCTTTTTGATTTATTTTTTGTTTTGTTGTTGTTTTGTCCCCACACACTCCCTTCTTTTGGTGGGAAAGTCAGTGCAGCATCTTAATGCAATTATAGTTTCTTTGTTGATTAATATAGCCTTAATTGCAAGAGTAGCTTACATGCTTATATTTTAAGAGTCTTGTATAAGAGATTAATGAAAGGGTGAATAATGGTAAATACATTAAACAACATTATATAACCTCATAAATATTAGTAATTATTGCAACACTGGACATTTTAATGACCCACACATGTTGTAAATAGGTTGTTAGGAACACTGCAACATTATCTCCTCTCTCCCATGCTTCTCTAAATGTTAAATAACCCCCTCAGCAAAACCTTTTTAGTAGAGGGGTTTTTATGGGTTAGGGTTTATTGTTGCACTGCACCACTGCACAGAGAGATGGGAAGGCCTGACAGATGGAAGGGTTTGCCGTCACTGTGGTCTGGTGGTGGCCAGTGGTATTTGTTCAAGTACAGGAGGCTTTAATGTATAAAATGCG